CCTGGGACCACCAAGGGAGAAGAGAGGAGAGTGGGACCCTACCCAGAGAAGCAGTGATGCCAGAGATGTAGGCAGAGACAATGACATGAAGAGATGGAGTGGCTGGGGACTCTAGACCCAGAGAGGGAGAGGGGCTTTATGCTGATGACCGGGGGGCAGGCTTGTAGTGTATACCCTTTGGTTGGTTGATGATGCATGGAGGGGACTGTAACCATGGCAATGAAATGATATACTATAGGATGAATGTAAAGCTAATGTTCTCCCATGTAAACTATCGTATAATTCACAATAAAACACTAAAAAACAAAACAGTCACAAGTAAAGTGGGCTTTCCTGGGGACCATCTGAGATGGATATGTCTGGAGGCATCATCTCCTTTTAAACACCCACACAACAAACATCTGTTCATTTATGCAACCATCATCCTTAAAGCCTATGACACGTAGCCCTGGACAAACCCTGAAAATAAAGGCACATGGCATTGCAAGCCTGCTCTGACAAGTGGGTTATGGCAGGGTTACGGAGTGTCAGCATAAAAGGGAAAACATCCTAGCACTGTAGAAATGCTGATTCTCAAATGCTCATGCCTGGCATTCAGTAGGTGCTCAATACATGATAACTCTCAAAAAAGAGGAAGACTCCAAGTGAGATGGATTGGCAAAGGGCAGCATCAATGGGCTCAAGCATGGCAACAATTGTAAGGTTGGCCCAGGACTGGGCAGTGTTTTGTTCTGTTGTATATAGGGTTGCTATGAGTTGGTAGCGACTCAATGGCACCTAACTACAACACCAACAACTCATCATTATGAGACACTATGTCCTTTTGGTTCCGAAAGGACATCAAGAGGACATGGTGTTTTTAAAGTAGAAGGTCAGTAACAATGAGGGAAACCCTCAATAAGATGGATTTAACACATTCACCTCAACAATGGGCTCAATACATTGATGGCCATGACAGTGGTCCAGTACTGGGCAGGGTGTTATTGTATTGTGTGTAAGGTTGCCATAAGCCTACTTGACAGCAACATCAGCGTTGTTTCTATTTGGCTGTTTCTCCACAACAATCATGGTCCAGTTTGTTTGTATCACGTGGCCCAGTTTCCAGAGTTCTACCCAAGTTTGTAATGGTTCCCAGGGTTGTGTATAAGCTAGTCCGCTGCTTGCAAGTAACATTCACAACCGGAACTGCCTTCCTTCAGCGTTTGCCCAGACCACAATTAACAACAAATGTGAAGGCGCTGTTAGACTGGAATAGTTATTAGACCCATGAAGCCCTCGATTCTATTTATACTCGGAAGGGGCCTCTTCCAGGCGCTGCAGGGGAGCCTTCTGAATGGGTTCCAAAGAAGAGGGTGGGTTGGGTCTTGGGACGGGAGAGAAATGGGAAGGAGATTGCATACCAATGTGGAGTATGAAGGTTAGAAGCTGCGTGGGGAGGTGCAGGCACTGGGTTTGTAAGCAGAGTTTCTAGAGCCATCTTCACAGTGGTCTCTCCCAGTCTCGGTTCTTTGTCTATGCAATGGGTGAGCAATGTAATCCTAGCCTAGCCCAGAGGTCTGCACAGGGAATTGTCATCAAAGGTGTGAAAGTCTCATATAAGTACAGGGTGTGTTGCAAAGAGGCAGGTCTCATCTCAGTAGAAGGAGAATGCCTGACAAATTCTCTTATGGTGCTGTGGGATAAGCACTGGACTGCTGATTGCAAGGTCAACGGTTTAAACCCACCAGCTGCTCCTTGGAAACTCTATACAGGGTCACTATGCATTGGAACTGACTTGATGGCACTGAACAACAGCAAGTTTTCCACTGGGAAATTCTAATGCAGGGTTATTCGTGATTAGAATTTAGGATTGCCCAGTGCAGTGCAGAGTGGTAGGAAGGGAACTGGACATTGTTACAAATTGAATTGTGTCTCTGCTCCCCAAGAAATGTGTAAGTCCTGACTTCTCTACCTGCTCCCACAATCATGTTTTGAGATGGGAGTTTTCTTGTATGTTAATGAGTCTATCTCAGGTTATACCTGCATCAGTGACCTTCTAGTCGATTCCATTTCACGGTAACCTCATGTATGTAAAGACAGAATTGTACTCCCAAGATTTTCAATGGCTAATTTTTCTCCCCCATAAATAGATTTCCAGGTGGACTCAAACCTCCAAGCCTGAGGTTAACACGGAGCACATGAATTGTCTGCACCACCCAAGGGCTCATGTGACAATTCACTGTGTTCTAATATAGTCGTGGCTTCCCTCTGAACCAAGGTCATGACCTAGCTCCCCCCGACCCCCCCCACCCCAGGACACTCCTGCTCCCCAGCTCCCCAGGTTTGGCTCAGAACTGAGGTCAGGGGAGAGGGTGCAGATTAAACCAGGCAGTTTGGCCCATGATGGGCCCCAGGGTCTGAGCTCCTGGACATAGCATGGCTCATGGAGGGAACCAGTGAAGCTGGACCTCATTGTCCTCTAGACTCTGATGAAGCCCTCGGAGCCTCTCCAGAAGCTGTCCAAGGTCCAGTTGGCCCTTGAGCATCAAAACTTGCTGCTAACTCAGCATTGCTATGTCCTCTCCAGCCTGGCTTACTGAGAAGTTGTTGTTGTTGTTAAGTGAGGTCGAATCAGTTCTGACTCATAGCAACCCTGTATAGGGTTTCCAAGGAGCAGCTGGTGAGCTTGATCTACCAACCTTGTGGTTTAAACCGATCTTG